TTTTTTTTTTTTTTTTTATGGGGGGTGTGCACACCCGGGTGTTGAATCCGGGTGTGCACACATCATTTTCCTTTACAATAATATAATTTGCAGCTTATTGCATAATAAATCACACCACAAATTGATGCTTTTGTAGTTGTGCCTATTATCTTTGTCTTTATTTTGTTATCTCCTTGACTAAGTTTATCTCATCCTCTTAGATTTTCAGTAGATAGAAGCAGGTCCTTAGTGGGAGCCTTTCTGTCAAGAGTTATACCACAGCCTGCAGTGTTTTCAACCATTCCTTGTTTTCAACTATTACATGATATGGCAGAGTGGGCCAAATCTCAACGAAAGTCAGGAGAATAGCCTCAGCAATTTTGCATGTGATTTCTTTCCTAATAGGTTCTATTACGATGTTAAGCCTATTATTGCATAACTACAGATTGTTGGAAGTTGGAAGGTAATTCATTTATCAAAGAATCTAAATTGTTTCATTTAGAAAACTGAGATGATGGTAGAAGATGTTAAGATCATGCAGCTCTGATCTTGTTTCTCTTTGTACTTCAGTAACATCACAATCACTTTGTTTAACAACTTCAATTTACTGTAAGTTCTATTTGTGGTGTTTCTCTCATTTTTCAACTAGGTACATTTATTGTTATAGTTTCCTGCTTTTTCTTTCAGATTTTGTTATGTATACTCACCAACGCTTTTGTAATTACGGGCTTGTATTAACTAATAGAGAGTCCTCATTATTAGGAGATATGGTTAAAGTGTAACAGAGATAGGGAAAGTAGTTTAGGCAAGTCTTATGTATTTTTGTTGTATTCCCGCATCCAAGGTCCTGTTTTGCATTGTTTTTTATTCGTTATGGCCACTGTTGCATTTTGAATTTTATATGCCATTAGCATATCAGATTAGTGACTCTCCTTCTACTCGTCTAAACCCTTACATTTGTTTATTTCTAAAGCCTCTTGAATGTCATTGATGTCATTGCAGCTTCACCTTTGACATGTTCGAAGGATCACCCTAGAAAGGGTGAAAAACTCACCTTATCCCTCAGTGGCACATTTTCTTTTTCTGTGTGGATGGAGTTGTTGGCTGCAACAACTGATACACTTGGTTTTATATTGCTCTTAGACACTCAAGTCACTTCTTGTGGTGCAACTGTGAAAGGTTTGTTTAGTCTCATTAATTTTGAATATATTTTTAAAAGCTGGAGCACTCTTTTCTGAACAATGGATTTTGCTTACTGTTTCCGGAATATAGTGATGCAACTGCTTGTTCATGGAGATGTTAATCAGTAGAGATTGCTCATGTCAAGTTCCTCTTACCATTAACCAACAGAGTGACTATTGCCTTCATCCAGCTAGTTATGCACGGATGCTTCTTGGAAAGGAATTCTTGAGGTATGCTTAAATCTTTCAGATATGTTTAGATAGGAGACAAGATAAGTCCGCAGATTGAAATTAATTTTCTTACTATACTTCGATTATAAGGTTTGACGCCACGAATCACACAATTCTAAGTGGATTCCCCCTAGTTGTGCGTTTCATTTGGTAACATAACACCTACCTAGTAAGTCTGAGGATTCACCACAAATGACATGATATGATTCATGCTACCATTGGTGACGACACTTGCAGGGGCGAATGCTTTTACACCAACTGAAACGAGCCGGAAGCCCGTCGGTCAATCGCACGGCATCCCCAATCGTTGGATTTGTGCCTCAAATTAACAAGGCAACCTATCATAATGTTATAGGATGTCACATTAGTTAAAAACTTAATTAAATTTTCATGTTGTAACTATCGAATTTGAATTTTAATATAAATGAGAAAGAGGTGTGAGAAGCATAAGGATAATTATTTTTTAGTGTGTTGCTTATTGTAGTGCTTATTATGTAAAAGAGTTTTTTGAACTTATATTTTTAAGGTACAAGTTAATTAAGTAGATTTTTTTATTATAAATTTATATAAAAAAACTATAAAAATAAATATTAATTTTAGTATTATTATTTAAATAAATTTAATTAAATAATTAATAAATTAAATATTATTTTTTAAAAATTCTTAAGATATAAGTTAAAATATTTATATAAAAATAAAAAAAAATTATTGTATGCTTATCATGTTAAAAAGTATATATATATATATATATTATTTCTCGTCCTCAGGATTCTCCAATTCCTTTTTCCTCAACGTACTCCAAGGTTCACGCATTTCTTCCGACAATCACTCTCCTTTTTGGACTTTCTAATGAAAGCATATGCCCATTTCTACAACAATAACCAATGTCTTTTTCCCCACATGAGACCGTCTGGTTTGGTTTTTTCATATCGTTTGAATCAGAGCATCAACCACTTCGTTGATTGGCTAATGAGAAAAATTGAGATGTGGTGGACGCGGCATTGAATTGGTATCGTGTTCACTTTGTAACTTAATAATGTTAATTTACATATATAAGTCTAATCCATACAAAAACGTTACTTTTCATATATCTAATCTTCTAAGTTTGAAAGCATTTTTCTCCCATATTAGTATTACTTTAGATCTTGTATCGTGAATTATAATTTTTTGCTTATGGCTAAGCAAAGTCATCTCTTATATTATATATGCTATAATTATATTATTAGATTAACATGTGATAAAAAAAAAAATTGGCCCCCTCTTAAATTTTGGTCAAGTTTCGTCCCTGCGTCAACTTAACCTTATTGGTCTAAAATAATTTATTTTAAAACAAAAATAGGATTATTTTATTATTTTACCATTCTATTTGTTAAAACAAAATAATATTTAGGTGATTTTAAAAATTTAATTAATAAATACTAATCTTATAAAAATAAATTACATTTATTGATTAAAGTTATCCCATTATATCTTTATTAAATAGATAAGAGTATCCTTTATACTCTATAAACCAATAAAAGTTTCATCAGTTGTTATAAAAAAATATATATAACGCTTTTACAAAAGTGATCTTCTATTATATTATTGTAATATATAATTATTAAAACAGTCTTCCCAATTCAATAATTCCCAGTGATTTTTGTTAGTCTTCCTTTTTTTTTTCTTTTTTCTTTCTTGGTCTCACCTAAAGTTACTTTATTCTGTTTTGTTTTTCTTCTTTATTTATGTATTAATTTACTAGAGAAATGTTAAACCGTTACAATATGTTTGGGTTGATGCTGCTTTTGTATTATTGACTTCCATAAGGTATTGAGATTCAGTTTGCTTGACCCCCTATATCTTTTATGTTTATATGAATGAATTTTCATATTCAATTTTAAGAAGATGAGAAATGCTGTAACTCGAAAGACGATGCAGTTTTGGTCCTGTCTACATGTTTAATTTTGGTCTTAATAGTGATTGTCGCAAACTTTAAAAAAAGCTTTACGGAATTAAAGCTACTAAATAGTTTTTTTTTTTAACATAGTTATTTAGTAATATAAAATTTAAAATTTTCACTTTAATTTTAAATTAAAATTTTTAAATTAGTAAATATTTACTTAGTCAAGTATTTATTGATAAAAGTTATAAAAAATAATTTAAAAATAACTTTTTATATTTTTAATATAATTTTATGTATTATTTAAATAATTGATATGTAATAACAATAAAAAAAAGTTTAATTATGTGTACAATCAAAAATAATTTTTTTTAATAGGAACAGTTTAAAAATAAAAATGAAAAATTATAGTATAATAGCATTTGTCTAGCCCTACAATTTTGAATAATACATCACTCCTTTGTTTGCTGAATTGTGTTCATCTTTAAGAAAATGGCAAGTTTAATAAGGTTTTCCCAAATCCTCTGCCTGTCCTTCATGTTGTTATGGTTTCGAGTCCAAAGCTCCTCACCTTCTCAATCTTCTCTCGATTCATCACCACATTTCTACCGTCCTGAAGAGCGTTCTGCATTGCTTGATTTCAAAAGCACTACTAAATCTTGTGATTCTCTTCCTAAGATACAAACTTGGAACGAGAGTGAAGACTGCTGCTTGTGGGAGGGCATCACATGCGACAAGATGAAAGGTCACGTGATTGGCCTTGATCTCAGCTGGAATTGTCTTGAAGCCAATCTAACTACAAATAGTAGTCTCTTCCGCCTTGAGAAATTGCAGACCCTCAACCATGCTTTCAACTCTTTTAGCTACCCCAATCTCTCTTTTGGGTTCAACCGTTGGAAGAGTTTGACATATCTTAATCTTGCAGGTACGAGATTTCCTTATATATCATGATGTGACCTCCACATATATAGGATTCCTAATCTTGATATGTACCAAAAATGCTACATTACGGACACAATAAGGCTAGATAGGATCTGTGCTACTGTTTTAATCTACGCACAGATGGTTTTTTTTTTTGTAGGGCATTTTATATGTACTAAGAATATATGTAATTGTATGTACTTTTTATATTATGTGAAAGTAACATAATCTTACAATGCAATAGGGATGTGATGCATCCATCCTCTTGAATGATACTGCAAATTTTACGAGTGAAAAGTATGCCATGTCCAATGACAATTCAGTGAGGGGATTCACCGTAATAGACATCATCAAATCTCAATTAGAGAATCTATGCCCTGGCGTCGTCTCCTGTGCTAATATATTAGCTGTCGCTGCTTGTGACTCCGTTGTTGCTGTAAGAAAGAAACAACAATGAACATTAGTTCTATGTTTTGTAATCTAATATTAATAAAAGTTTCAAGTTTTCTAATTTAAAATGTAAAATAAAAATCATTAGATGAAGAGTAGTTCCAATTCCAATATTAAGATCCATCTTTCCTAATAATTTTTGTTGTGCAATCTCAATCAAATTGCACAACCCTTTTTTGTGTTACTAATCTTGATTACTAAATAAGTTGCTTTTGAATTACTATTGTTTTGGCACTTCGATAATGATCTTTAGATTTTTGTTTTATCAGCTTGGCGGACCAAGTTGGACTGTTCTTAATTTTGGGAAGAAGAGATTCAACCACAGCAAGCCTAAGTGCGGTTAATTCCAAAATCCCCTCCCCACTCCGAAGTCTTATTCCCCAGCCCTATTTCTTCACCAACAAAGGTTTCACAGCTAACGAAACGATAACTCTTTTAGGTGAGCTATTTTTAGACCCTCTATTATAAATATTTAAATCTCAGACCTTAAAATCAATTAGTATATATCAATTTAGTTAAACATACACTATTAACAATTAATTTAATTAAATTTCAGGATCGCACATAATTGGACACGGTAGGTGCTCGATGTTCCGAACGCGTATCTGCAATACCAACATTGATTCCACCTTTGCCACATCACTACGGTAAAATTGTCCGACCACCGGGGGAGACAATAACTTTGCTCCTCTAGACAATACAAATCCAACATCATTTGACAATGCATACTTTAAGAATTTGTTGGACGAGAAAGGACTTTTACATGTCGATCAGCAGCTCGTCAATGAACGCACCATATACTCTCAAATCACTGTATAAAGCAACAACGAGGAAGCCTTCAGGACAGACTTTGCGAATGCAATGGTAAAGATGGGGAATCTGAGTCCACTCACGGGTTCAAATGGTCAAATAAGGATAAACTGTAGGAGGCTGAATGAACTAATCAGCCCTCTCTACTTACTAAACCAATGCAAAAGGCCCCCTTTTGCTTCTGATGACATGATAAAATGTCAGCCTTCCATTTCCCCTCGCGTCAACCCGTTAAGCCTTGCTTATGTGGTGCTAAGTTGGAAAAAAAATTTGTTTGTGTCCAACAAGTGGACTTCGCACCATTTTACCAAAAATAATTTAGTTAAACAATAAACTGAAAAAGACAATGAAAATATAGGAAAAATTGCAGAAGCTCCTCTTCTCCACTTCTCCTCCTGTAAGTCGATGTCAATCGTTGCTTCCTAATGCTTGAACTGTGTTTCATTTTTATCCAAATTCTAGATTTGAAAAGAAGGAGTGGGTTCTAATATTCGCAAATTCTTAATTAGCTTTCCTCGACGTCCTCATTAGGGCCTCTTTCTTCGTCCTAAATCTCCATCACCGTCCTGAATCTCGAGTAAATCACATTATTCGTTCATTTTTTTCTGGTTTGATTTTCCTAATTTATTTTCAAATCGAGAATATACGAGGTCATAACCCAAAATCCCTACTTGAAAATTAAAATCTCTTATGGTTTCTCTCTTTGATTCTCTAGATCTACAACCTAGATGGACCAACAAGAAGCAGAGGTGAAAATTTCAAAAGATTTCAGCGAGTATGTGTCTCTTTCTTCTTGGTTTTTCAGATCTAAAGCCGTAGATTGGCAGAAAGGACCAAAGGGCTTGAGGCAAGTGCATCTGCAGTTTGGATTGGCTGGCGGCCGCAGGTAAGGTAGAAGTGAGATGAAGCTTCTTGCAAAGAAAAGAAGACGTCTTATAGTGAAGTAGCATTTATTTATTATTTATTTTTTCAATTTCAAACTTAAATCAACAATAAATAACTAATATTTAATAATAAATTCAATGTTGTAATTTTGATTTAAAAATTTTTTTTTACACACTTATTTCAACATATTTTTTTACATTTGTGTAGTTTAGTATTAAAATATAATATAAATATAATTTAATTTAGTTAATTTTTGTATTTTATATACATAACAGTAACTTTAAGTTAATTTATCTTTATTTTTAGATAAAAAATAATAATTTTTTAATAAATATATTATATAATATATTAAATTAGAATACATACTAATTAATATTCTTTGATTTAATAAAGTAAATGGAAATTAAAATTCAGTAACTAATTTTAAAGTTTAGTTTCTAATTAGATTTATTTGGTTTCTTAATGAAATTTGTTGTTACTATACAATTAAATGTAAAAAAACGTTGGCCAAAAAAAAAAAAAAATATCAAGTGCAAGAAAAATTTTCCGGACAAATATGATATTGAAGAAATTGCAGAATATATATATTTATGGGGATGATTTTAGGTTCCTCAATTTTTTTGACAGGAGGTTCCTCTTGGTCCAAGACCAAGAGTCCTGGAGAACCAAGTCAGGGTTGGGAAAAACTCTTTAATTTTTTTTTCTTTTTTTTTTGTTCGCTTATTAATTTGACTATGACTTTGTAATTGTAAATTCTCTTGCATGAGATTGAGTAAAAGTTCCAGATTGTTGAATTCCATGTTGCCTGTGCCTGCTTGGTTTTTATAAAATTAAAGAAAATTGAGTTCAATTGTGTTCAGTATAAATTTAAGAATTTCTCTAACATACATTTTTAAGTGCATAATTTAAGGATATAATTAATATATTTTTTTACATAATTTAGCATGAAAAGTGACAAAAGTTGATATTAACTTCATTATCAATGCCATATGCATCGTTCTAATTAAACACTTGATTAAATAAAAGTCAAAGTCAAATTTTATTTTTTTAATAGTAATTAAAACTAAAAAGAACTTTTATGCTAGGTTTAATTAGGATCAAATTGTAGTTAATTAATAATTCAATTATAAAAAGAATTATTTTAATTTAAGAATTAAGGTTTAAGTAGGATTTAGTTATTAAATTTATTAATTTTTTCAAAGTCCACATCAGACAAAAAATTAACAATTTTGTGCAGCTCAGCTCCACGTAAGCAAGGCTTAACACGGAGGATCGGAAAGAGGAAACGGAATGCTAACGTTTTATGACATCATCACAAGCAAAAGGGACGGTTTGCATGGGGTCGTCAAAAAAAAAGGGGAAAGCTAGTAGTAAATAAGAGTTTGAAGTCCCAAAGAAATTAGGGGACCATACCATAAGCTGAAACTCAAAATAAAAATTATAATTTGTTTCAGACGGTTTTCTGATGAGTTGTTTGCAAATTTTCTTTGACTTTTAATTACTGATGTATGGAGAGTTTATATATTATAGAGAGTTTTATTTTAAAATCTTGAACTATAACAATTTTTTGTGTCTTATATATGTGAAAAAAAAAAATTGTTGACCCACTATTAAAGCTCCGAAAAATACTAGCGGAACGACCCCTGCAGGCCGACTAAAGGCCGATGTTGATGTGGCACATGCCGCGTCCCATAGATGTCCTTTTTTTAGGGTAAATTTGATATTTAGTCTCTATTTTTAACAATTTAGCTTCATTTTAGTCCCCTTACTTTTTTTAGTTGAACTAATTTAAACTAATCTTATTCGGATATAAAAATTTTAGAGTTTTTTGATTAATGTGTTATGGTTAGTATTTAAATTTTTCTAAGATTTAATATTTAAGGCATTTGGGTTTAAATTGTTTGAATTATATATTTTATGATTCTAAAATTTAGATTTTTGGATTTTATATTTCATGATATTAAGGTTTGAATTTTTTTCAAATTTAGCCTTAATGTGTTAGGATTTAGATTTTTTTAGAGTTTAAGATTTAATATTTAAAAATTTAGGTATTTGATAATTTAAAAATTAAAATTTAAAAGACCAAAAATTCAAATTAAAAATGTTTCACTTAAAAAGAAAAAAAAAAACTATGGGGACCAATCAACTTGGGTACGGATAGGTTCATAGGGCATTACCCAAATTTTAGAGAACGGAGGAGTTGATTTGTGTTTTTTTTTTTTTTTTCCCCTTTTTTCTGATCAAAGGAGTAGATATGGCTTTTAAAGGGATAAATTTAATGAATCATCTAGTAACTTCAATGTTTTTATCAATTTTTGGCTAAGTAACTTTAATTTTTCCCATTTCAATTATAATCTTTCAAATCGGTAAAAAATTAGTCTAATCAGTTAATTTGTTGTTTATAAGTAATTATTCACGTCAGCATGTTATCTGTTATAAGAAATAAAGAAAATTTTATCTTTGAACTTTTAAACTTTTAAGTCTTTTAAAGTTAGGTCCTAAAATTATTTTTTTAACAAAATCTACTAATGAAGATTCTATTGTAGTTTTTAGAGAAGGATTCCAACATTAATTTCTCTTATACAATTTTCTTAATCAAAGATTAATTAGCAAAAATCTGTTGAACAACCATTTATGTAAGGCCAAAAACAAAATGCACATGTAACCTGGAAAAGATGACATGAATTTGAAAAAAAAAAAATAAAACGAAGTTTAACTGTTTTTAAAGCATTTTAAAATTTGAAATTTAAAAATAAGAACGGGCCCAAGGCATTAA